TATTTTACTGGCAGCTCCTATTTTTAAAATAAAGACTAACAGCTTGAGGAGCTGCTTGCATGCTGCTAACTGTGTCATGTCTTTTGTTAAAAACTGTGGATGTTGCAGAAAAAAAGGGTGATGCAGAGTTGTGTTATACATATGAAAGGGGTCTGGTCAAATGAAAATAGTGCAACCCTGAAATCAATACAAGTAGAACAGCTAATCGCACCGTATACTGAATACAAAGCAGCCTATTTCAGGGTAATTTGTTACTTCAGATATTTTTCTTGCATTATATTATACTACTGTGGTTAGTATAAGAGCACATTACAGTCATTAACCCATAAACAGGCCTCAAGTGATGGCCTGGATGTAAATGCATACATAATCTGGAAATGTTGGTGAATAGGGGGGAAAAGGATTCAGTGTAATGAAACAAACTAAAATTAAGTCACTTGCTCACTCATTTGTGTAGTATGAATAATGACTTTATTTGTGAAAATTAAGCAGTCGCATGGCTTAGTTCTCCAGCAAAAGTAGTTTTAATATAAACGAGGTAAAACAAGACTGTATTATAGGCAGAGGTTAATGTGTCAGTGCCTGACCTGTGCCAGATATGGGTTAGAATTGCTTAATCCAATTATCGGATCTATTAATTGTGTAAAGCAATGAGGTGAATAATAACGGTCTAAATGTGTAGTGTCATCTCGGCATTAACATCATGACTTTTTCTTTCCTTTGCAATGTAAACAAACCATTGCAGGGTGCAAATTATTTGTATTTCATGTTGTCCGAGTTTTTTTTTTCTCCCACTAGCTAAAATAAACAGGTACTTAACAACACTGGGGGAAGAGATGGTTATTAAAATTTGTTTTAGACGCTTGGCAAAGTAACTTTAAAAAAAAAAAGTGTAATACTTGCCTGTTAGGGTGTGGCTGAATAGGAGTCTTTATTTCAGGAGCAGTGTTTGTCTTTCGGGGAACAAATGTGTGATTTAGAGAGTCTTTGAGGTTTATGCTAAATCTGCAGTAGAAAAGGCAGGAACACACTGCAAAGTGTTTGCACAGGAATTCAATCACTCAACCCTGCTGTCTAAAAAATGTTGAAGGGCCATTTCAGAACAATAACTTTTTCTTTGAGATAGTGAACCAGTGACCTTACAATAGGTTTTTTTTTGTTATTGTTTTGGATTCAAATTGAAATATATTTTTCTTCTCCAAAGTTTAATTAATTCTGAACTTCAAAAGGCATTAGAATCAACATTTTGAAAGCATATACAGTAGAACTTTTAAACCTTAATCTGGTTTGGTTCAGGGAAATTATCTGCTGATCAGTCTGCAATTATGCAATTTATTTTGTAAAATAAAAGCTATAGAGTTCATTATGTCACATTTGATAGTAGGTTGAATATTCACTTTGTACGTTTATGGAAAAGAACGTCTCAGTTAGTGTTTAATATAAATCAGGTTTAGACTCTTAATACAGCGAAGTTAATGTCACACGTTACTAAAGATTTGTATTGCTCTTATTTACTTGTGAGAAGATGTTGGTACTTAACTATTAACTGAAGAAAAATATGTTTAAAAAAGGCCACAGTGAGAATTGAGAAGTGGAACATTAGATCAGCTTTTTCTTGAAGGAGCCCCGAGTTTGAGCCTTACTCACTTGTTCCAGACACCTACAACTCTTTGAGTACAGAAAAGTTTCCTGTTAGTCCCAAATGAATTCCCTTTTTGTTTTCCAATTGTGACTGTGTCTCTGTTTCAACGCTAAGGGTAAAACTGTCTCATTGGATGAATCTTATCTAAAATCATTTGGATCAAATCACCTCCCAATCGCCTTTGTTCTAGATAGAAAAGGCTTAGCTCCTTTATTCTGCTGTGCATGACAATCCCCTCAGACCAGTAATCATTCTTGTTGCCTTTCTTTGAACTTTGAGAAGTACTAACTTCATTTTCATTGAAATAGACACAATAATCTCAACTAGGCACCATTTCTTGGCACAGTGTGAAAGCTTTGTCATATTCCAGAGTGTCCAAACTGGTTTTCTGCCTGCTGTCTATGAGTCTATGTGTTTGTTTTGAAAGTAATCTGCATATAAGTGTACAAAATTGTCAAAGGTAATGCAAGATGTACCAAAAGGTATTATGTAAAAATTCCCTCAGGTGACTAGACATTCTGCTTGAATACCTGGGTGCACTTGAACACTGACAGAGTTAAGAGTCTGAGTCCATTTTCCCTGATCTGATAAGACATGTGAAGCTTAGTCAAGCAGACTTTATTTTGCAACCAATCGGTGCTTACCTAGGTTCTTCACAAAGACTGCTTGTCAGAAGTATAACAAGAAAATTGCATAATGTGATTTTCCTTGCTCTCTAATGGTAGTGCAGCCCCAGCCAATTAAATTGCTTATATAAAGATAAGAATCCCTTTATTTAGGAAGGGTAGATTTTATGAACAAAAGGGCTTCGAGGTAGAAGGAGCTGTAGTTGGGGCTCTCTCCCTTCTCATCTTTGCCTACAGCAAGACAAATTGGTGAAACATAAGGAAGATACTTGATAAGCAGCACTAGCATGGCAGAACAAAATGGACATTTTAAGAAGAGCTCTAGTCCCTTTAATTGCATGTGAAGGTGGAAATTATCTTGTTGTCAAGGGTTTCCCGGTAATGAAGACTTTACTTTCATTGGAGTATTTATCAATGGAACATATTCTAAAGGAATGGTCCCCAATTTACCCCAGGGTATACAATGTGAAAACCACAATGTGTCAAGGAATCTCAAATGAATGGGTATATTCTCTGGGTTGTATACAGAACACTTAATCAATGCCATGACACAACAAGAAGAATTTATTTTTTCATTTTCTTCAGCCTTTTCTCTTATAGGGGCACATGGATATGTCTGTAGAAATACACTGGGTATAATGTTATGAACACGGAGAAAAAGCAAACTGTATACTGTAGCTGTATTCGGTTTTAAAACACTTAATTGGTTACATCTAGAAAAAAATAAAATGCTGCATTAGGGTAAGTTGTTACATTTAACAGGAAGGTTTCAACACCAAGAGAATCAATTTGTCACTGTCATCATGACCAATGTGATGTTTCCCAAAAAAGAATTCTTGCTGTTCCATCTCACAAATGGAGAACTCAGGCTTCATGTATCTTTTGTTTCATTATGCACAGAGCCTTTGCTAACATACAGGCACAGACACAAGATCAGAAAAGAATATCGGATTCACATAACATTGACAGAGTCTAAATGACACCAGGATTTTCCTGCTGTGCACTTTTCAGGTCTACAAGACGGTGCAGATGTATTGCACCTACGGGGACAAATTCATGCATAAAGCACCATTACAAGGATAAGCCCAATAAACGGAACATTTTAATGTTTGCTTTATTCATCTGTCAGAACACAATTGGAAGTATGAAATCCATCTGAATGCATCTAAGTTGCGGGTGCCATGGGCCATAGTGGATCATTGACTGCATTATTGCAACTCACAATTTTGTCTTTTTCTTCCCGGAATAATTCAATGACGCTTAATTTAATGGTGTATATAAAAATAAACGATTGACTTCTGTTCTTTAAATATATACTTTATTGTGAGGGAAACATCACAGCAAACCACTAATGACAACTATCCTTTTTCTAATATCCTATAGCTTTAAATATCCTTTTCTAATGAAATTCTAAATATTCACCAATGGGACATTCACAGATTGTTTTTTAGATTTGCTCCTGTCTGTGGAATGCAGTTATAATATAAGAGTATTGGCAGCACTTTTAGTTTATGGATACATTTATGCCCATGGACAACAGCTGTAATCTTGATGTGGCTGTATTGAGTGCGATATTCTCTGATCTCTTGGCTTCAGTTTAATGTAACAAGGGGCCAAAAAAATTAGAGAATGTCTGTAAAAGCTGAAAGCCTTTAACACCACAATGTTTGGTTCACGCAGCAGCCTTGTAACTTTGTAGCTTGATCTCAGAAGCTGACCGATGCTGGGTTTGGACAGGACCTAGGGAGAAAAACCAGGCTGCAGCTGTAGATAGGGTGGGTAGACTTGTAGGTAGCACTCTTTATCCTTGGACGTGAACTTTCAAGCCAGTGCCCCAGTGTGTTTGGACACCTGTGCTGTAATTGGTTCCATCCTTAGAATGAGATGGGGAAACTTGATCAAATGGCCATTAAAATGGCGCTCTGTTTAAGAGGAAGGATGTTACAATCTGTTCGCTTTCTGCTGGGTGGTTGTGCGGTCTGTCCTCCTTACAGTTAAACCTCGAGCCCCCTCTCCCACCTCTCCCAATGTGTGTTGGTATAATTGCTGCCACAGTTCACCCAGGTGGGCTCGGGGGCTCAGTGGTGGATGACATAAGTCCCATACCTTGTGTATGAGCACTTGAGCACTTTTGGATCCTTTGGGAATGAGTGCGAGGGAATATTGATTACATAGAACGTCATGCAATTCAGATGATCTTTGTGATTGTTGCAACAAATACACTATAATCGCACTATAAGGCCAGGGCAGATTTAGTTTTTGAAGAAAAGAAACCGTGAAAAGAACATCTTAGATGTAAACCAGTCACAGGGAGCAAAAGATTTGTAACACACTTTGGGATGTCTATAAACCTGTAATTCATAAAGTATTTTGGGAAAAAAAAACATAACTTGTTTCCATGACTCATGTTACATATATTGAGTAACTCCTGCTGATGTGCCTGTGAGCTGAAATTCTTCTTACACTTGTGAGTCTTAAAAAAATATAAAAAGTAAAAAGCATCCCATAGTCAACTGAGAATTCATGAGCTTGAGCTGTTTGGTGTTACATCAGTTACTATGGAATTGCACTCAGTTTTGCTTACAACTGATTTGGCATTTTGTCGTGGTCATGTATCGCGCTGCAAATGGTGGATTTTGAAATAAGTCTTTGTAGAGACATGCATTCATTTCTGTTCTACTGTTCAACCAAAATAAGAAGGAACACCTTGCGTTTTGTTTTTGTCTGTGCAGGCGAGGATGATGAGGAAAAGAACGTGCTGGTGCTGAGCTATCCTCAGTACTGTCGCTATCGTTCCATGGTCGCACGGCTGAGAGAGAGGCCGTCGTCTCTGCTGACGGACCACGTTGTCCTGGCCCTGGGTGGCATAGCGTCCCTGAATAACAACACTCGGATCCTCTATTGTCGGGACACCTTTGAACATCCGACGCTGATCGAGAACGAGAGCATCTGTGACGAATTTGGTAAGTCCACTTGCTGTTAAACTACATCCGTGCTCAAGCACTGCTACACTGGTTATCGTTATTTAGCTCCATCTTTCCCAGCATTCAAAGAGCAACCCCTCTACTATAGAGAGTTTAGGAGAATAAACTCTAAACGGTAAATCCAAAAACTGAAAAGCATCGACAGTCCGTGCAGGCTGTATTTTCAGCACTGCTGAAACAGTTTAGTTCAAAAGATGCAGGGAAAAGACCGTCCTCTCCTACAGTACTTACAGGAATCCCAAAATGCACCATATCATCTTAAATATGAAAAACTGTATGGGTCTGTGAGTAATCAACAGTATTCATTACTGTGGATATATTTCCATATTATGTTCTGTATGAAGTTTATTGAAGCATTGAAAAGAGTTTGTAGAGGCCAGTAGTTTTTTGTTGCTGGACAATGTTATTTGTTAATAGCATATTTAGGGCAGTGAAGTCATAGTAATTCTTAGAAGTACCACACACTGTATTTATTAAAAAGGGATAGGCTTGAATTTGAAAGTGAAACATGTGCGACAGAATACCTAAATGTATATATCTTTTAAAAAACAGAGTGACAGTTACTTGGCTTTAAAAGTAGATGTTAACATCCAGCTTTTTCAACTATGTAAAACTGGTTTGTACCCCATAGCTGTGGCGAAAAAAGTCAGGCAGTTCTGAAAAATGGCCAGGGAGGTTATTGAATTTTAAAAATATCTTACACTTAGGAAAAATGTTTAGTATACTCACTCATGGCCTGGCTTTCTTACAAGTGTTTCTAATAATCCCAAGGCTGCTACACATAGTTAACCAAGGTTTTCTCAGTTTGACGGAAGTGCTGTGGGCTGTACAGTACTTTGAGCACATACGGTGTGTTCTTTTTTTAAGGAAACAGTTGGTTGTAAATTCACTAAAGTACAACCTACAGTTTGTCTGGTTCAGTGCCAGGTGGGTGAGTACCAGTAATCACTGTAAGTAATTGGCTCTGTTTATGGTGTTTAGAAGTTCTAACCCTGACCTTTGGAATTCTCAGAGCTCCTTGTAAGAGCTGCTACTATTCCAGTATGTTCCAAATGGCTTCCATGGATTTCAAATTCAGTTCCCTTATTAACACCCTGTATTGAGCAAACATCACTGGGATTTGTAATCCTACACTCAAGTACAGAACAGTCAATAATTCCCATTCAGAGCAGCTGGCTATCTAAAGAAGTAGAGAGGAGCTTGCTGAATGAAGTGTGTGGTAAAACCTATAATGTAAAGGATTTGTTAATCATTGATCCGTTTTTTTCATTTATAAACGTAATCATTACTGTTCTTATTTAAACATTCTTCATAAGCCCTTGCTAGATCTCTAATGTACAAACATGGAAAGTTAAAGATTGAGATCCATTATTTTTTTTTCTGCAAGACCTGGTCTGTAATTAATATTCATTACTGAAACCTTAGTGTTCTCATGTCTCATTTCCTGAAGAAGGATTTTAAAGTGTTAAATTGACCTTTTTCCTTTTAAAGGTAAACAATACTGATATCTATAGCGCTGCTCATAGCAGTGAAGTCTGGATTAATGATTTTTTGCTGCTTAGGGCAAAGGTGGATGCGTGTGTATAGTTTTTACTTCAGGGGGTGTTAGTAATTTGAATTATTTCAAATCATGTGACACTTGGATAAAATTTAATCTTGCTTTCTTGAAAGTGCCATTTGTGTCAAAAGTTATTGTAAATTCGTTTAATGATTCGTTCTCTGTCTTCCACAGTTACTGCTTCTGGAAAAACATAAAATAGATAAAGAGTTTTTTTCTTAAGTGTCATGTTTTTGCTCTTACGAGTGTACCAAGATTTCTTTTTTTGGCAGCAGTGTGCCAAAAATATTTCTAGAAAAAATATATTTTGCTTTTTTGGAAAACCCAGTACTTTTCTTAGACTTCCTGCCTATTACTAGTTTCTCTGCATTCATAAAGACTCATATTTGTGTTTTGGAATAAAGCTGTTTATGATTACTGTAGTACAATATTTTGAGCACAGCTCTCACATTCTTAAAAGAATTATTCTGAGTAATATAAATATCTCCAGGCCCGATCAAAAAATGTTTTGCCTGACAGAAAAAAAGCAATATGAAATCTGTTGGACTCTGGGAAGCTATAAGGAAGTGGGTGAGCTATTTTGCTGAGACCATGTGGTTCTCATGGAACATTTGAATAATTAGACACTGGGCAAAGATTTATCATTCAGTGTTTGTAAGCATTTGTTTAGAATATTGTGAAATACCAGGCACTCTAATGTAAGTTGTTATTCTTTACTTGCAATAAAGTAAAAAATAAATCTGACTGAATTACCTCTTACCCAGTTCCTTTGCAATCTGATACAGTGCACGGGCATGCTGTTTAAATAAACAGTGTATTTTTAAATCTGATTGACTATTTAGTTTTCTACTTATTTGTAGACGTTCTCATTTTTTTTCTATTTATAGTGGATTTTTGTTTTGTTGACCACATAGGATATGCATTTGTCCTAATTTTCCCTTAGAAAGAAGATTAAATACTAGTGGTTTGTTTGTTTGAAACAGTGCTGTTTGTATTTCACAAAACATAAGCATTTACTGAAGTGGGAACATTTTCCAGATTCCATCTGAGACCTTTCTCTTATTTGGCCAGGGTAGATTTAATGCAGGTTATTAATGCTGTCCAGATGTTCCAAACAGATCTATTTCTGCAGTGCTGTGAAACTGTGGACATTCCTGAATATAAATGATATAATCATTTAATACTCTCAAGAAGGGATTGTCTGAGTAGGGAAGAAAAAAATTGAAAATAATAACTGTTTTCTGTCTACACACCATGTAATTAGGACTGTTAAAGAATTCTATAGACTGATAATTTGCATTATTCTTTAAAAAGAGGCATAGTATTAAGTCCTGGCTTTTTTGTAGCCATTGGAAAAAACTCCCCAAAACTGAGTTCATACTTTCTTTTCATATACTGTTCTCAGAATTATGTTGGACAAGTTGGAAGTTTCTTTGCTTATTTCACAATCTGGATAGTGTTACCTTAAGGTCATACATTTTTGAATAACCATATGTGTATCCCTTATGTCAGATTAAGATTTTAATAATAGACATACGTGATGTAAAAAAAAACTTCTTTCTGCACTTATATACTGTATGAAGGAGATAGAGGTTTTATATGAAAATGTTCTATTTTGAGATGGCATTAATATCATTAACTGTTTAAGTGCATGATACCTATAATTCTAACTGAAAAACATCCAAGATTTCAAGATACCTTGAGTAAACAACCTTGAAAAATAATTGGCAAGGGGTTTAGTTAAGGTTGTTTTGACATAGAATATCAGATATTTAAAAGACTCTGTCAATTTTAAGTATACTTAGGGCATCATAGCACATCTGTAGAGTCTGTTCAAATCACTAATACAATGACCATGTGTTAAATGTTCTTCAGCGTGTTAAATTTCATATGTTGTGATGAACATGCATTCAGACAAACGTATTTCCTTGAAGACCATTCATATCTCCAGGAAGCCACAGGCTTGTAAAGACAATGATTTGTTGACTCAGAGATCAGATTTACTCTTTATTTCTCTGCAAGTTTACACCTCAAGGAAGTCCAATCAAACTTTCTCAGGTTTCCACAGTGTCCCTGGACCACCATGTATGCTGTATCTTTTTAGACTTTGCCTTGAAGGTGGTTTTAAAATCTGTCATCATTTGAACATTTACATTCCTAAAGTCCCTCAGGAGTTCCTCTATTGTGGCCAGAAATTACCGTGAATATATACTGTATAGAAATTCAGACTGTTAATGAGTGCCAACATTCCTGAGAACAGTACAATGGAAAAGAGAATTGGTTTATGTTAAAACACGGTCACATAGTTAAGAATACACTGGCTTTTCAGAAGAAAAAAATCAGCCATGTAATATTTTCCAGTAACTGTTTATCGTGCATTACGTCAAATTAAAACCAAATTGCTATTATTTCCCCTAATGCAGCTTGGGGCCTCTTCAGTTTGCTGTGCACTGACAGCTAAGAGTTATATGAAATACTCTATTAAAACACTGTGAAACTGCTGTGTAGGAGGATATGTGTTGTTGAGTTCAAAGTCAAAAAAATATTTACTTAGCATAGCATAACAATTTTCTGTTATTTTTTTAAAGATATACTCTCCTTGTTTTGACTACACTGCAGTAAATTAAACATCTGTTGGACTGCTTTATTTTATTGAACACAACCACTTTAGAAGGCTCAAATTAATATTAAATGTGCCACACCTTTCAAATAGGTTGTGACAGTGAATTCTTGTAAACTGCAGAGTTATTTTTTTCTGAAGTAATAAAATAATTTGCTTATGGGAATGGCTTGTATCTTAGGTCGGACATTTGAGACTCTGCAGTTATTTTTAGTGCTCTCCTTTGTGATCTGGACTAATTATGCTCCTGGCTAGGAGCTCTTAAGTCAAAAAGCTCATCCTCAGCAATAAATCCTCAGAGGAGGATAAATTGACACTTCTTGTTCAAAAGTATTGCTTTACCTTCAAGAAAGAACACTGCATGTCAACACTTGAATGGCTTTTGTTGTTGTTATTAAGAAACTTCAGAAATGTACCTATGATGTGCATTGATTTGGAATGCTGTGTTGAGAAGAAAAATATTGAGCTTGATTTTTAGTTGGTCATATCCCCGACTGACCACTTACAGTGAAAATAAATAATTCATGACAAAAAAATTGAGTCTTACTTTCTGGCTCTATGTTCTTTTTTATGCAACCAATAAAAACTTTAGGGTTTTACACTTGAGTGAGGGGAAAAAAGGTCGCTTGAAACCGGATGGAGTATTTATTTTTTTAATCTTATCTTATGCTTTGGAAGGTCATACATTAGTTCAGTTTCTAGCATTATTTGTGGCATTTTAGCTGCAGTAGAAGGTTTGTGATTTGTTATCGTGTTGACATCTGCACGGCTTTTGCTATAAACATTTAATGAGTCTAGATA